GTTCTGGAATTCCCATTCTTTGCAATGTTATCCATAATTTGTTGTAATCCACACAGTTGAATGCCTTTGCATAATCAGTGAAACACAAGTAAACATCTTTCTGTATTCTCTGCTTTCAGCCAAAATCCATGTGATATCAGCAATGGTATCCCTCATTCCATGTGCTCTTCTGAATCCAGCTTCAATTTCTGGCAGTTTTAAGATGTTATCCTTTAGAAATTCCCTTCTACAGACCTACTCAAAGTGTGCTTTCAGGATTGAGTCTTTTCACAGACCTAAAGAGTTTTATGTCTCGTAACTTGCCATGTGGGGTGATGGGGAAGGCTTCAGGGGGATATGCGTTGACCTCTGCTTCAGAGGGTCGGGGTTCTGATGGGTAGAGGACATCTGCGTCAGTAGGTTTGGACCCGAGGGCATGTCTGGGGAACAGGCAGCAGAACATCCTCATGGAAGGGTCTAGGTCTCCGACTGTGGAGGGCTTTCAGTAAAAATCGGACGCCTTTGGACTTGATTGGTGAGGCACTGGGAGTCTTAGAGGGCGTCGGGACTGGTCAGTGATGTGTCTGAGGAAAATGGATCAGTAAGCCAGGTTGGGATGGGAGGGGAAATAAGAGATCCTGGGATTCGTGGGGTGTTTGGGACCTGCGGTAGGTGGTAACGGTTAAGAATAGAAGAAAGGGAAAAATGGGCCTAGTTGTTTGTGGAAGCAGAGAGAAGGGTGTTTTCAAACTTCAGTTACATTTAGTCTGTCAGTACCGCTGGTCAGAAAAGGCGGGGCAGGATGTTCCCTGGGGAAGATTGTTTGCTGTAACGAGCACCCCCAGAGTTCCAAGAGCTTCTGCTCTGCCAAGCAGTAAACCTGTCCAGGTGTGGCCCCAGGGTGTGTTGTTTCTTTTCCTGGAGTGGAAATCCAGGGTCTGGCCTGTGTGGATGGTAACGTGGCCTCTGGGAGTTGACTGTTCTGGGTGGGCGTGCTTGAGTGTCGGGGCTCAGCGGTTTAAGGAGATGTACTTAGTCCCTGACCTCAGAGAACTACCAGCTAACGGGGAGAGGCAGTACTGAATGGAGGACGAGTTGAAGGCTATAGGAGAAGAAATGCCTTAAGCTGGGACCTGGGCATTCTGATGGGTGGGGGTTACAAACAGTTCTTTTCCTTTGTCATTTAGAACCAGAAAGATAAAGTTTGTTTTGTTGAGATTCTTCAGTCCTATGCCCCTTCACTGTGTACAGTTTTGTCTTAAACATGCAGGCAGTCCACAGCCCTGTGAATGTTCTGAAAAAACACTGGATTGT